TTAGCCAGGATGGTCTCGATCTCCTGACCTCGTGATCCGCCCGTCTCGGCCTCCCAAAGTGCTGGGATTACAGGCTTGAGCCACCACGCCCGGCCAACTTTTTGTATTTTTAGTAGAGATGATGTTTCACCATGTTAGCCAGGATGGTCTTAATCTTCTGATCTCATGAAGAGAGACTGGGTTTCACCATGTTGGCCAGTCTGGTCTCAAACTTCCGACCTCAAGTGATCCATCCGTCTTGGTCTCCCAAAGTGCTGGGATTACAGGTGTGAGCCACCGTGCCTGACCAAATTGAGGACATTTTCTGATGCCCTTATCAGGTCATTACTGAGTCTCCTGGGCCCGTGCCCTGGGCCTGGTGTCTGCCGGACACGGGACACAGACGTGAGTGGACATGTTCCATGTCCTGAGGGGCTTGAGATCCCACCCAGTGCTCTTCATGAGCTCCATGGCCCAGGGATGGCCACGAGCTGTGTGTTCCTGGCCCATCGTGAGGTCAGGACGGAACCGGGAGGCAGTGGTATAAAGTTGTGTAGCGCTTGGATGTTGCAGCTGTATCCCAGCGTGAGACCAGTGCCCCGCCCCAGAGAGCAGGGGCACTGTCAAGCACTGTTGGACTCCGTATGTCCTTCTCATTCGATGGAGCAGATTTCCCTTCTGACCACATTTAGTTAAGGAAAATGGAGATGGGTGGTAGCTGTGCCCCCAGCCTTCCCTCCTGTGACACTGTGTGTGCTGTGTTCAGCTGGAGGCCGAGGCGGTGTTCCGGGCCATCACCATTGCGGGCCGGATCAACTGCCCTGTGTACATCACCAAGGTCATGAGCAAGAGTGCAGCTGACATCATCGCTCTGGCCAGGAAGAAAGGTATGCAGCCGGCCCTGGGCCTTCTAGGGCAGCTGGGGCCTGGAAGGGGGTGTCCTGCAGGTTCAAGTTCACTCCCTCCCGAACTCAGACAGAGTTCTGTCTGAGGAGGGAGAGGTGAAGGGGGGATGCTCCTGACACAAGGATGGTGGCTGGAATTCTTTGGTCCCAATGACCCTAGGACCCTAGGACCCTAGGACATTCACCTTGATAAGTCCAGCTCCATTGAAAGAGGATTTTAATCATATATTATGTTTAATCTAATGGATCCAAATATTCAGCATGTCATCAATGTAAAAATCATTAATATTTTGCATGATGTTTTCTGTACTCTCTTCAAAATTCCGTGTGTATTTTACATGTACACAACTCGGTTCAGACTAACCACAGCCTCAGGTTATTGGTGGCCACATGCGGCTCAGGACTGCCTTATTGGACAGAGCAGGCATGGACCCCAAACACGTTGTTTCAGTGTTTTTAAGGGCAAGCTGACAAGTAGAGGCTAGAACAGCACAGCTTGCCTGAAACTAGCCCCGTTTTGAAGATAAGGAGACCCGGGCTCAGAGAGGTTACGAAAATCTGGAAGCAGTACCAGCCGGGAGTGGGTAAGCAGGCAGGTTCTGGAGCCACAGGAAGCCATAAGGTGGTCACTAGCCACACATGGCTATTTAAATTTAAATTAAGTAATGTTAAATAAAATGAACAAGTTAGTTCCTCAGTGGCACCAGCCACACCAGCTTAAGAACCACATGTGGCCAGTGGTTGCTGGTTGGGCAGCTGTGACGTAGGGCACCTGCCTCACTGCAGAGAGCGCTGCTTGATGGGCTGCCCTAGAGCCGGGCAGAGCTCACAGCCGCCTCTCCTGCTGGGCAGCAGGTGGCCTCGGGCGAGGGCAGCAGGGTCTCTGAGGCCACATCTCTTGCCCTTGGTCTCTAATGCAAAGATCTTTCCTGGGAGCCCCAGCTTCCGCCTGCAGGCTTTTCTGGAAGAAACCCGCCTGGCCCACTCCATGAAAGGCAAGCGGGAACTTCTGGGAAGCTGGTACTTGGGAAGCTGGTACTCGGGAAGCTGGTACTCGGGAAGCTGGTACTCGGGAAGCTGCCCTCCAGCCCTGGGCTGATAGAAACACATCCAACTCGCTTTCCCCTGGGGTGGGACGACCCCGAGGCGTGTTCCCGAGCAGGACTGAGTGCCGAGGCCCTCCGCTGTGCCTCGATGAGAAATCTCTCTTTATTGGCTGCTTTCCCTGCCTTATGTCACTTCCTCAATCCCCAGCCAGTGTTTCCTGGAATCACCTCCCAAATAAGACACTTGAACTAGAGTCCTAAGATCTGCTTCCAGCAGAACCAAACCGAGACAGCAAATCATGGCTCCGTGCCTTGGCTTACGAATGTATAAAAGGACATAATAATGTCCAAACCCTAAAAGCAACAGCTGTATCCACAAGGTTGCTGGGTGAGTCAGCTGCCGTCCGCCCCACGGAGCGCTTGGCGGGGTGTGGACAATGTGATGGAACCGGGCCTGACACCCAAGGTCCCTGCGGTGCAGGCGGTGATGCCTGCGAGAACGGCGGCCAGTGTTCCGGCCTTCAGCCAGCCCCGTTCTCCCTCCACAGTCTTCCGATTTTGTGCCTTTGACATCTGCCTCAAGAGAGTATTTGCTTTTAACCAGGCTTGTTTGTGTTTGCCCCTCCCAAGGGCCCCTAGTGTTTGGCGAGCCCATTGCCGCCAGCCTGGGGACCGATGGCACCCATTACTGGAGCAAGAACTGGGCCAAGGCTGCGGCGTTTGTGACTTCCCCTCCCCTGAGCCCGGACCCCACCACGCCGGACTACTTGACCTCCCTGCTGGCCTGGTGAGACCTGTGAGAATGTGGGGCTGGGGGAGGCAGCTGGGGCCTTTGGAAGCAGAGAGTTAATGGTGGGAATCCGCAGGCTGGTTTGGACTCATGATTACAGAGGAGGCTCTGCCCCGTGCTCTGAAAGGACAGCGCTTGTGTGGCTTACAACAGGCCTTCAGGGACCTGAAGATCTGTGGCATCCAGTGACTGTTCCATTCACATCTATTGACTTCCTCTTGTTGAGCCAAGCTACTGTTAAGCACCTGCTCTGTGGCAGGCACCGTGGTGTATTGGGAAGCACTCAGGATTAGGGATGGAGACAAGGCTGTGTCACCCTGGACCTGGGACATCACCCGTAACACCTCTTGGTCCCCCTCATTTTACTCAAAGTGGGAGCAGACAGTACCTGTGGCAGAGCTGCCTATGAGACAGTGCAGGAAAACGACCTGGAACCGAGGGCTCCAGAAGTGGCCGCTGCTGCCTGCAGCGCACCTGCTGTGGTGCACGCACACCGTGCAGCCCAGCACCTCAGCCCCTTCCCTTCTGTTAGCCACCATGAGGGACGAGCACTTAGCAATAGCAAGGCCACACAGCAAGCCTAAGTGTCCAGGCCGCTGTGGAAGCAGAGATGCATGCTTAGAACCCACCGGGAGGTTTGCAGAAGGCTTTCTGGAGGAGGTGGCATCGAGACTAAGGCTCGGGGATGCGAAAGAGTTTGCCCGATAGGGGAGGATAAGACGGGGCTTCTTGGCAGAAGGAACCTTGGAGGAGGGGGCAGCGGTGTGTACCCACGTGGAAATCACTGTCCCCCTGATGATACAGAAATCCTTGACTGGCATAGCCAAGGACTTACTCAACATCTGCAGTCCGATGTCTGGTGGGCAGCTCACGTTTACAGAGAACTGCAGATCTTCCCCCGTAAAGCTGCTACCCCCGCAGTCTTGCCCATCTCAGGAAATGCCAGGAACATGGACCAGAGGCCCTGGAGTCTGACAACGCCTCACCTGTCTGCTGTGGCCATCCTGGCTCAGGCCACCGTCCTCCCTGGCTTCCTACCAAGGCTTTCTGTTTCCACGCAGGCCTACCCCCAGCTACCCATCACAGTCTGCTCTCAGACATTTAGAACCTAGATTAGATCAAACACCCCTCTGCTCGGAACCAGTAAGTCCTCTCCCGGTGAAACCCAAGTCCCCACAACGTCCCACAAGGCAGAACTCAATCCAGCACACATGCCCTGACCAACCTCCCTCCCTGGGCCTCCTCTGCCCTTGGCTCCCTCGGTCCAGTCGCGGCTTCATGCTGACCCTGAACCCCAGGCAGGACCCTGCCTCAGGGCCTTTCCACTCATGGGAACCCCTGGCTAGTTCTCTCTTTCTTAGACACCACGTGGTTTGCTCTATGACTTCCTTCAGATCTTTGTTGGAAGGCTCCTTCTCAGTGATGTAATTTTCTGATTATCTTCCTGATAATGGCATCCCCAGCCTGTCCCCAGCACGCCTCACCCTACCTGCTTTAGTTGAATCCCTGACACTCGCTCTGACAGCGCCCATGTGCCCCATTTGCCTCTGCTTATTGCCAGTCTCCTCCGTCCCTCAGTAGAGCTGACACATGCAGAAGCTCTCTCTTTCTGTTCTTAGATGCACTCCCTATGCCTTAAATTGTACCAGGCAC